GCTTCAAATAAAAAAAAAAACAGTTAGATGAGTAAATTTTGATTCTTTCCAATTCAACCACACCATAAGTTTTAAATTAAAAAAAAAACCCGCTATTTTTATGTCTTATCTTGTTACAGCAACTGATCTAAGATTATGAATATTATAGTAACGTATTTTTGTATTCAGTATATAAAGCACAATGATTATAACATTTATAAAGTTAATTTGTTCTATTGATGTATAAAATATGGCTAGCATTCAGCAACAGGTTGCACATACAACGTAACACGCAATGCTATCAAATTCTACTCCGACATGAAATCGATTACAGAAATACAACAAAACTCAGAATATAATTGCTCAAACGTATAGTTCTATACGGATCTATTAAATAACTATTAAATAGTTCTAATAATACACACGAAAGTCTCGAGTTCGTATCCGTTTGTAAGTCAGTAGAGCGTCCCTAAGTCCACCCAGCTCTGATGGATAACTACCTCTCGTTTGGGAAAATAAAGGAAGCTGGGCATAGTCCTGACCACACAATATTTTTATATATTGTTGAAGTCACAGAAACAAATAAACTCTACTTCTATGAACTGTCAGGTACTAATTTGTAACCATGAAAAATGCTTAACATTTCTGTGTTCTCATACCACTCTTAATGGTGCTGTTGAAAAATATTTAACAACTGCTAAATGGATTAGACACTGCCTTTTTGTATACTGATGGTCAATTTGTTACAAACATGGACATTTTAATTGCATATACTTTGCTCTTTCAATGGGATTAACATAATTTTAAAGCAAACGATGAAAAACATAACATATCATCTCTATTAACATTTTCCAAAATGTATTTCTGCTTTTTTAAAACGAATGGAAATATCTTGAAACATGCTGCACTTTGTTGTCTATCTTTCATCAAGATCAAATCAGTTTAATATTTACCTGCAGAGCTTCTTTTAGGTATATTTCAGGGGGTGCGAGGGGAGAGTGTTCAGTGGATCCATGGTATGGTAGACCAAACAAGTGCAAACACGAAAACCTCGAGTCAGAAACCAAAGAACGTGACTGAGTACACACAACTCTGATTGGTACTAGACTCAGGTTAGGGAAAGTATAGGAAGCTGGGAACAGTGCTGACCACACTATCTCTTCATATATCGAGGTCACAGTAACAGGTGAACTCTACTTCACTTGCGCCATGGATGGTAGATAGCATATCTGAAAGTCTTGCGTTTGATTCTCGGACCCTCTTGTGTTAGCTGGAAAAGCTATCCATCTAGTAGAGAAAACTGCTTGGAAAAACTTTTAAAAAGACAAACAGGCTAAGTAGGGGTAAACTGGACAGATGGCACACAACATGCTGGAACGTAGTATTTAGTTAACTTAGTTTGATGACCCTAGTTATAAATAGGTCAGAGGTCAAGCAGGCGAGAGATAGAATAGCGTGGTTCAGGTAGAATAGGTAAATCAGATAGACATTGTTCAGTCAAGCAGAACCAATAGAACTGTAGCAGGAGATGACCGGTCTTGTGCGACGGTCAGCTGACCATTGACTTGCGGGCAGCTAGATAGGTAGCGTTAGAAAAGAGTTTATCAGCGAGTGTTAGCACAAGTTGACTGTAAAGGATCGGATATGTCTTCTACTTAAAGATAACGTTGAAAAAATTAACCGTGAGTGATCTGCCCTAAACTTTCTCGAATATTCTTATATAAAACAACAGGGATGGCAACTCGGGAAATACACATGATTTTTAATCCATTTTTAATGACGTAAACTTTTTTAAATATAGAACAGAATTTCGTAGAAAAAAGAACTGCACACCAAGCGAACGCAAAATAAAATATGTATAATAATGCGGAATATTATTAATACTTAATAAATTCACATGCTTTTTTAAGAAATCGGAAATAGCCTTAATTACTACTTCCTGTCAACGGAAAATACTCAAAATTTGATAGAAGGCAGAGAATTAGATCTATTACTTACTTGTGAAAATTTCATTTATCTATCTGAAATAGTACTCATGTTATAGTCTTTTGAAAAAATTCAAAGTGGAAAAAGTTCCACTTTCGGTTATCGGAAATAGCTCAAATGTTAATACGGTTCAACGATTTTGATATAATACTTATATATGAAATTTCATCAACCTAACTGTAACGGTACTCAAGTTGTCGTGTTTATAGACACACACAAACACACACACATACATACACACACACAGACATACGGAAAAGATTGCAAAACTATGTTTTTCCAACTAAGACAGGTGTCGAGATTTGCAAAAAATCTCTTTTTTTTTGCACGATTACAAGACTTTCTCAATATATCTTCAAGAAAGTAAAAAAAAAGGTTAATTAAGGCAAAATATGTAATCAGACACCTGTGCGTCGATAACAAGGAGGCATTGATAAAGTGTTGTAAAGTGGATTCTTCTGTAAGAATGCAAGTAATAGAAAAATGTGTTATAGTAAAGTATATCGGTTAGTAGGTGGCATGGAGCATTATTTTATTTTGTTACGGTTTAGTTATCATAATACATAATGTTATGAAGGTTGCTGTTTTAATTCTTTTCTTCTTCTACTTCTATGTGTCTTTTCTTTAGATATTCTATTGAAAATAAATGTCTAGTTAAAACTCTACTACTATAATCCATGAATAGATTTAAAAGGTGCGCGGGCCATTGACCACAGGTGTTTTGACAATAGGGGGTTTGACCATAGGTTGTTTGACAATAGGGGGTTCGACCACAGGTGTTTTCTTAGCAGATGGTCTATAATCACAAGGTGGTTTGTCAACGGGTGTATGATCACAAGCGTCGTGTCCGCCTTTGACCACAGGTGTTTTGTCCATGTAGGGTCTTTGATCACATGCTTTTTGTTTATGTAGGGTCGTTGATCTCAGGTGGTTTGTCCAATGCTGGCTTTTGATAACAAGCGCATTGGTAGGGATTAATTTTAAAAGTTTTGTAATTATATTTTTAAAAATTGTGGCAGGATGTATAGATAAAAGTAATCTAACCCTACTAGTATTACTTCTTTGGCTATGACTATACTGTTGGCATGTTTTTTTTATCCTTTGTTATCGTTTATATTTATGTATTTTCAAGTACATCTACCTTATTTATTTGTAAAATTTGTTATTTGTTTAATTATTTGTGTTCCATTTATATTTAAAATAAATTCTTTGAGGCGTAGTACAAGCCTTTATGTGGAGACTATAATATCGTTTTTAACCTTTGTTAAGTAGGTTAATTTCTAATAATGGACTCCCATGAAACATGTACAGTAACGTATTAATTGTATCACAAATTTGAACAAATAACAATTTATAATTTTAATTTTAAAAGCTATATATTATGGTTAACCCCTTCTGTGGTCAAAGCTCCGTTGTGGTCAAAGCCCCGCTGTGGTCAAACCCACTATGATCAAATCACCTATGGTCAAAGCACCTGTGGTCAAACCCCTTATGGTCAAACCCCCTATGGTCAAAGCACCTGTGGTCAAAGCACGTAAGTCCATTTAAAAACCTACATCCTTTTAATAATATCTTGCGACTAAAAATAGAAAGACTTCTCAATTCTAAATAAAATAGGTTTTAATTTATACACGAAGCGTCAACTGATAATAAACAGTACGTTTTAGTAAGTAATGTATATCATATTAGTGTAATACTAGCAGGAATCATATAATGCAACCGGTAGGAGGGTCTGCGCCACTTCGATTTAAATTAAATGATCTTTTGTGTTTTAAATAATAAAAATAAGTAAGTTATTTACTGCCATGTGATCTAAGTCTCAGGCAGGATGAGAACATAATAAAAATACTGTAGCTTGTAACAGTAAAAGTCTGATATCCACATTTCTTTTAAGAGTTTACAGCTTGCAAGTAAAAGTTTATTGAGAAGGTTTATGGCAAACGAGCTATTTAAACTCCGCATTTCTTTGCTTGTAATAAAATAATAAGTTACTAAAAAAAAAGTGAACTGCAATAGTAGACTACATGTGCACTTATTAGATTTAGCAAATACGTTTTAATATTGTTATATACATTGCATAAATTACAAGAATGTTGCAGTAGATAAAAATATAAAAAATAACAAACAGTAAAATAGAGTGTGGGTGAATAACCCAAGGCCCTGAACTCTCTTATGAAAATCTGTAAGAAGAGAGTGAGTTTTTTGGGTTGCAGTAATATGGCGGTGTGTCACGTGAGAAATCTAACCAACGAGAGAAAAGCTTGGTTACGGGAGGGTGGAGGGAAATGAAAGTATGTAGCTGAAGGGAGCAGAAAGCAAGATGGCGGTACAGTTTTACCGTCATACGAAGTTTTATTAGATAAACTAAGAATTATCCATATCATATGGAAATGATTTTTAAAAATACCTCCAAGGTATAAAAAAGTAGAAAAAAACGTTGTAATCAGCAAGCCCATGCTGAGATGTGCTTAAACTAGAATGTCTATCCCAGTCAGTTATTTTTATCAACGATGTAAACAGGTTTGAAAATAACGCGATGATAACCAGTACATTTTAACCCCACATTCCATAAAAAACTGTTACCCTGTATTCATTTGATTGACGTGAATTTATGCTTTCAAAGCTAGTGTTCTATTTTCGTCGCTGTTAATAGCTGTCTATCAGTTTACTGCTCTATTTTCGTGGCCGTTAATAATATTATTAATTTTTTATCTAATCTAGAGAATTTTCACCGCTTCATTTTTACACATGATTCCAAACTCAATTTACAAGCAGATTTTTTTGGCTTAGAACGGATCGCGTAAAAAAGTAGAAACTTCAATGAATAGATAAAAGTATCAAAGTGCACCAGTAACGGCCTACCTGGTACTTTCAAATCTTAATAGTTTGGTAACGAAATTTCAAGGTAAAAATAAATTTGAATTACTCTATCTTAATTAGTGACGTCAGTTCGATAAAAATGGGAACGAAGATACCTGTATAACCCTATTTAAACCAGCCCGCATTTCTGTTTGTTTAGTTGAGATCCAAGTTGTTAAAGTAAAGTTCTATGTTTTTGTGATTTTTCTAATATTTAATCAATAAAATTAACTATAACAATGAAGTTCCATGTGCTGTACATATTCATTGCGGTAAATATTATTTCTAGCACAGGTAAGTCTATGTAAATGCTATATAAACGTAAATATTTCACATAATTAAGTTAATTAAATATATTGTCTAATTAAACATAAATTAGTTTTATTTCCAAAAAATTAGAAAACTTTTTGTTAAAAAAGATTTTTAAAACTCAAATGCAATAAAAAAATGTTTTTTTGTTTATTAATTTGTGAGATTTTCTTGTGTTTATTTTATATTAGCTGTAACAAAACAAATTAAAATAAAAACTTTAAGCATTGTAGAGAGCATGCCATAATAAAAACAAACCGCTTTCGTGCGAACTAGTGACAACATTATTTTTTCCAATTTTTAACTATTGAAAATAATACGGTTTAAAACCTAGCGGCACTTTCGACACTTTTGATTTTTGCGATGCTGCATTACTTGAAATATTTACTGTCTCTTTTAAATGATACTTTCAAAATGTTTGGCATATTTAATCGGATTAAACCATTAGCTACCGAAAAATCGACACTGATACCAATAATCCTCTTAGATAATAATCCACTCAGATTCCAATAATCATCTCAGATACCAATAATCCTCTCAGATACTAATAATCCTCTCAGATACCGTTAATCCTCTCATAAAACAGTAATCCTCTCAGACCACCATGTTTTGTACATATCCGATTTCGTGACCGTCATTACAAACTATTGAAGTCCAAGTAGGGTACATATCGCTTTAACAGATCATTGCCTTCACCACAACTGTCATATGTTTTAATTTTGTCTCTCGTTTCTCGCTCCAGATATTTCTGGTCCGACTTTCGCTCTACGTGTTACATATAAAAATATATCGGCTCATGATGGATTTTAATTTCCTGAACCTGTTGACAATATATTGCCAGATTTTCAAATTATGTTAATTTAAACTGCTTGCTGGTCCAGCGTCCTATCGAAATCTTTATTGAAGATAGTAAATGGCAAGCACATTCCAACTATATTCTTCAGTTCTATAAGCGTAAATTTCAGTTCTTGATAGCCAGAATTTAATGTTAAAAAGCTGTTCTAGTTTATCCACCAGGAAGTTTAAGAGCACATATCACTGTGAGGAGAATTTATTTCCTTCGATCCTTAGTAACCAGTTGCCGAATTGTATTAGTACTATTAGTTATTCTAGCATCTGCAAAGCTATGGCTAAAAAATCTGTTTCCGCTTAGACGACATGAAAGAATTCGAATAATTTTATTCCTTTGACTCTAAAAACAGACACGTGTTTTATTTATTTTCAGGTCTAAAAATAGAGTTGAGCAAAGAATATTTTTACCACGGCAAGAATGTATTTTGTGCACAACTCCAGTGTACGGAAAACATAAGAGAAGACACTCAGATATCAGCTCTTGTCAACATGTCAGTTTATAGGATCAGTATACCAGAGGGGAAGATTTTGGTGGCGTCTATTTCAGAATCAGATTCAAAGCTTCAAGATTATAAAAGGACTGGAACAAGAGTAGAGGGGAAAATATCGAAAACGTTTTCCGAATTGGATATTTTTTTATCAAATAGTTCAGACTGCAATGGTTGCATTTTCATATGTGAAATACATTATGTGAATACAACAGGATATATTGATAGAATTGGGAAACAGACCGAGAGTTTACCAAGAAAATCACGTGAATCTTTTATAATAATGAACTTGAAAGCTAAAACATCTAACTATGTTAAATCTGTTGACACAATGGCCGACTTTCTCAAATCGTTTGAAGACCCAGATAGACTGAAAGGTGCAGACATGACAATGTCATTACAGATGTCACATTCTGGTGGCGATAAGTTCAGCATAGACAAAAGTTTTGGTCCTACAGAAACAGAGTTCAATAGCAGTTATAAACAGATCAGTTCTTCTACTCTTGAGGACATGAAGGATGATAAGATAAAAAATTTAACTCTTGATGTAAACAAAACATTACAGATTATGGAAAATAAATTAAATTCTAACACAGAGTTAAACGAAAATAATTTGTCTGCTTTAAACGAATCAATGCAAACAAAAATAGCCAACACACAGAACCAAACTGAGCAGCTCAGTATTAGATTAAATGAGATGGAAACGAGTATTAAAAAAATTGCCACACAAGTGAATATTAATTCAACTTTAAATTTGGTTGCCGGTCTCAAAGAAGTTATTATGCAAGACAAAAATATGTTTCTATTTAAATTAACACAACAGGTAACGATTAGTATATTTTTCTTCTTTTACCGTATTTACGTAAATTTTCATTTGTTTTTCTTTTAGCTGAACGATTATTTAAAATTATTATTATAACTTAAACAATGCTACTTTGTCTTCTTATCGTTACCATAACTTGCCTATCCGCTAAAAGCTGACGAATATATTCTATCTACATATTTTAAGTATTTTATATACATTGTTATATGCTACACAATACAATAATTAAATGAAAGAAACATACTTTATAAAAACATGACTAAATGTTTTTATAATATTTTATAATGATTTAATTGTCAGTGTTTCAAAAACGAGAACTCATGTCTACCACAATACACGAGTGTTAAACTAATCGAAAGCAAACTAGCTTTGTGTGATACCAAAACAGATGGTGGAGGATGGATTGTCATTCAGGTAACGTTTTTTTTTTATAGATTTTAGTTTACATTTCAGCAGATTATTTTATTTTTAAAAATGTAAACATGTGTTTACCCTTTAACTCGCCAGACCGTTTAATTTATATGCGATACTGTTAATTAAAATGCTAAATTAATTAAAACGGGAGTGATCTCCCCTAAACTTTCTCGAATATTCATATATAACACTACGGGGAATGGCTACTAGGGATATAGACATAATTTTTAAATACATTTTTAATTACTTAAGCTTTTTAAAAGGGTTTAGAATCTTGTAGAAAAAAGAATTGCGCACCAAGTAAACGACAAAAAATATGTGTATAATAGTGCGGAAAATTAGTACTTAATAAATTCAAACGTAAAATAAGTTCCACTTCTGATTATCGGAATTAGCTGAAATGTTGATACGGAACTACACATTTGATGTAGCTTAATAAATAATATATGCGATTTCATCAACCTAGCTATACGGGTACTCACGTTATCGTGTTCACAGACACACATATACATACATACATACACATAGACATACGGACAGAATTTCAAAACCCAATTGAAACCTGTCAAAATTGTATGTGATTTTTGGGGACGATTACAATACTTCCTCTACACTCTGAATACGAGAAAGTAACTAGTACCGTTTGGCACGTGGTAAATTCCTGTCATGGCTGTGCCCTAAAACTAATTTTTTTTGTTTTGTTTATCTTTTGCAATTTCTGATGAAATGACGAATTGAAAAAAAAAATTCATTATGTAGATTTCTACACATCTCCTCACCTACCCATGTCTGAATGAAGGTTTTACTTGCTTGGTGGACTAGCGTACTAAGTAAAATTATTGACTATCAAAAATATTCAGTAAAATAATAAAATTTACTTTGTTGTTATATTTGTGGATTTATTTTTTTAATGAGAGTTTGTTTTGTGTACATTTAACTAAGAAGCTCAATATAATATGGATTTTAAGGTTTAACTTAAGGAAAAATTACATTCTATTCAAAATTTACGTCATTTAAAAAAAAAAAAACATTTTAAGTTAATTTGCAAATGCAAGCTATAGATTAGTCAATCTATGATAATCGTTTTTTTTTAAACAGCTATCGTAAATACAGCAATTATTTAATAATAATTTTATAGTCTTTTATTAAAATATACGTTAATATTAGTATGCGTTTAAAAATAATTTGACAGTGAAATTCAATGCGCAATGTATTAGGTAATTCAGATTATATTTTAGATATAGTTCTAGGTTTTATTAAATAGATTTTTGCATTTGGAAAATACATAAGTCTCTTCTCTAGTGGTTCATTACTAATCGTATTTTTCTCTAATTATAATCATCTAGAGGCGTATTAAAGGTGACGTGAGTTTTATCAGAAACTGGAGCGACTACAAAAAAGGTTTTGGGACATTGGATGGAGATTACTGGCTTGGAAATGACTGGATTTCAAATCTTACAATAAACGTAAGTTCGATGCTAAATAAAATTATAAATGAGTTTCAAATTTTCACTCAACTTGACATACAGACAAATAAATAATATGTTCAGCTTTATTCTCATCCGTAAACTTTCTTTATAAGTTTTTGTTTTTCTGAAAACGGTCAAGGCTTTGTAACATTACAAACAAAAGTTCTTTTAAAATATTTGTATGTTATAGATATTTAAAGATGTAAATCATATTTAATTTCCGATGACCGTAAAAGGATATACTAAACATTGATTACTCATTATTATTTTTTCCAGTTTAGAAGAAAATCAAATATTTGCACAATAATTTTAAAAGACTTACACTTGTTTTTTTTAATCACACTACATCATTTATACGACTAACTATAATACTCTAAGCTTATATTGTAAAACTTTTAATTTATAAAACATAATTACAACATATTTATTTACAGGGCTACAGTGATCTGAGATTCGACATGAAATATAAAGGTAAATCATACTACGCAGTGTACAGTAATGTGACGGTTGAAAGTGAAGCAGCTTTGTATAGGATAAGGTTTACATTCAAGACAGGCAACGCTACAGATAACTTTAGTTATCACAATGGAACTGCTTTTACCACTTTAGATAAAGACAATGATGGATGGTCTGGTAACTGTGCTGTGAGTAATAAAGGCGGCTGGTGGTATAACGACGGATGTCATCGGGTGAACGTTAACGGTGTATGGGCGAGTAAAGATCATGGTGAAGGCATTAACTGGGCCGGTATAACAGGCTATAGAGATTCTATGGAGCTCGAGGAGATGAAGCTACGACGTCCATGATTATAAAACACTAACGCAAAAATAAAACATTGTAATAAATTGGCTGATGCATGACAATATTTTCAATATTTCGCCAATCTTGTAAATACAGCTTTGCATTTATGTAGATTTACATATTTATTCATTGAAGGCTATTGCCTAATGTTTAATTATTTTTTTGAAAATCGTAGATCCGTATAAGCTTTTGAGCGATTTCCGATAATCGGAAGTAATACTTTTTCTACTTTGAATTTTTCAAAAGCCTATAACTTGAGCACTATTTCAGACATGTAAATGAAATTTCACGCGTTAAAAAAAGATCTAATTTTCTACTATCTTTTAAATTTTGATTAATTTTCGTTAAACGGAAGTAGTAATTTACGCTATTTCAGTTTTCTCAAAAAACTAATGTAAATTTATGCAGAACTAATAATATTTCGCAATATTATGCACATTTTATTTGGCGTTCACTTGGTGTGCAATTATTTTCCACGAGATTTTTTTCTATTTTTAAAAAGTTGAAGCATTTAAAATGGATTAAAAATCATGTTTATATCCCGAGTCACCATACCCTTTTTTTTTATATAGGAATATTCGAGAAAGTTTAGGGGAGATCACTCCCGGTTTATTACTTAAATAATTAGGAAATGGGAGTTCGAAAATCAAATTCTGTACTCGTGCACACATATTGCCAATACTGTAAAAACTAAAAAATAAATTAAGTAACGATAAGATTGTTTATTAGAAATCAGAAAATAAGAATTTTGTAATTAAATAGTTGTTAGATATACAATTTTGAATTTGTTTATAAAAATGAACGAGAACAAAACGACCAAAGAGAGGATCAATTATTTATACCACAGGTTCTCAAACGTTTTCGGATGGCAATCATCCTTTCAAAAAAAACAGTGACGGCGATACAATTAAATAAACATTGTTATATTATCTTACAAAACAGTATGAGCTGAGATGTCAAGGTTTAATTGGGATAAAGAAATATTAAAGCTTGTGATAAAACCTCTTTTTATCGAGAAAAAAATTCATTCTTACAAAGTTCTTACAATATGATAATATAAATATATAATTATCAGTTTCTGAAGGTTTTTGAGAAATCGGAATAGAGAAAAATACCGATCCAAGTCATCGGGGTAAAAAAAATTAAGTTATCTAAATTTAAGATATGGTACTTTATATATTTTTGCATATTGTAGTAAAATACTAAAGATAATTGAATATAAAATCATATTTAAGACCTAAATCAATACAACGTTGTGAAATTAACTTTTTACAACAATGTTTAGACACTAAGTATGCTATTAACACAGGTGCTATCCTAAGAAAGTACTTGTTAAAGTAATTTCTACTTGTATCAAAATAAATGTATTGCTTTATTAAACATTTAATACGATTGTCTAGCTTTTTTTTTTAAAGCTTGTGGTTTTTTTTTAAATTCTTCCTTTAAAAAATGAATTGACTGACAATAAACATCACTAGTTCTAGAATTATTATGAGATGCAACGGTCTACTGACTTAAACTCGAATTCAAACAGACAGGTTAGCAACCAGGTCTCTACCGCTAGGCCACTCCGTCCCTCACGCTAGTAGGTGGACGGGCTGTTCAAGACAATACAGCGTTAGTAGACTAGCAGGGACGTGTTTCGTGAGGTGGGGGAGCCCACGGGATCTCTGTAGACTTAGACTAGAATTGACCGTTTGGGAGAAATAGGGTAGTTCCATTTAGGACTTCGTGTTTAGTATTCTGCTTATAGTGTTAGATGTGTAGAGGGGGGGTGGAAACAGGCGTTGTACCTGAAATAGCAATATAAACAGAAACTGATATTTTAACGCCAAGGGTTTTCTGTACCTTTGTCTACCCTTGGCGTTGAAATATAACTATCTGTTTATATTGCTATAATGTTAGATGTTGTGGCGGTATTGATGATAGTTGTATTTTTTTATCGTTCCGTTTACTTGTAGAAAAAGCTGCTAATTATGACTATTCATTATTAGTTATTTTTCTTGTTTACGAATTCCCAAACTAGTTCGAAATGACACGGGAAGGGGACGTAACAATATATAATATATATATTTTTTATTTTATTGTTTATATCCCTTTAATAAGGGAAGCAATTCAATTAAATTTGTATAAAGTGAAATAAATAAAAAAAAATTAAAATGTGTTCATGCTATTCACCAGTCTATTATCAGCGCTACACTCAGGTATCCGCCATATTTTAAGTCAAGGGAAACTGCCTACATCAACAACGAAGACACCAAATTGGATGACACAGCTACCGACAACCATATTGGAAAAGATTCTGATGCTAGGCTACCATTGCGAGATATTTAAGAAAAAAGTTTATTGAGAGATTATTTATTTAGGTGAAATCACGTGTGACTGATCAATGGAGTTGGGCATTGAAATGTATAATTGATAAGTGATATTGTAGTAAATAATCAGTTTGAGTGTAAAGCTATTACCGTAAACAGCATAGGTTATGCACCTATGGTCAAAGTCCTGCTTTGGTCCAAGACCTAATGGTCAGAGCCCCTTTGTTCAAAGTATCTATAGTCAAAGCCGTTTATTTCTAACAACTAGCTTTAGTGTCCTCAACTCAGGTTCCTATTAAAACATGGATCTCCCAAAATGTTGTTTTAGTAATAAAAAATAGTCTTCTACATTTTATAAGCATTGATAAAAATCCCAATATTAAAATGTGTCATGTAGTAGGCCTACAGTATATATTGACTATTCTTGTTAAACTGATTACTATTAACCAAATCATACTGATGTGTTCGTTACCGTTTTATTTTTAGGTTCTGCGTGTTAACTGTTTTCAATATCCACCTCGATTCCTAAGATTTTAAGGGGCGTAACACTTATAACAAAAATATCTTTCTACCCTTTATTGGTTGTCTCCCTGCAGTATTTATTGTTTTGTTGTTTTAATAGAACCGGATTTTAAAAACTAAAAGTGTCAACTTTACTGCATAGGAAATAGTTACATCTAAACTAAAACTTGTCATTCGATCAATTATTTTCCATTATTTCAGAATATGTTTTGTTTTAGGCAGCAGTTTTATAAGTAGAATAAAATCCCGTAGTATAACACATAATTAGTGTAAAACTTGTTCCATCTAAATAATCTTTGTAATCGAATAAAAATTGTGTGTCTATAATATTAGTAGAATAGAATATGTTACTTGTGTTAAAGGATAAACACAAATTGATACTAAGGGATCTTTTACTTAAAGACAACTTCAAAATAAAAGTTAATTGATTGCAAAAGTTAACTGTGTCGATAACAAGAATGTATTGATAAAGTATAGTACAACTGTAAAAAAAATAAAGTGAGTAAAATATAAAACCAAGAGCATAAGCGAGTTGGACCGACGGCCCTCAACTCCACGTGCGAAAGTAACTAAGAATAGAAAATAATTTGGTTGCTTCCCCTTTCATGCATCAATATTGCGTTGAGTCACGTGGACAATCTAGACATTAGAGAATAACTTGGTTGGGGGAGGGTGGAGAGGATAGAAAGGTTTGCAGCTGGCTGGTAAACAAGCTATCGGTACTTTTTTTAGAATGGCACGCATTTTTATCAGATAAACAAAAAATTATCCATATCAAATGGAAAGGATGTTTTTAAAATACATCCCAGATTTAAAATAGTTTGAAAAAAAAAGCTTGCAATCAGCAAGCCCATGCTGAGATGTGCTTAAAATAGAATGTCTATCCCAGTCAGTTATTTTTATCAACGATGTAAACATGTTTAAAGATTACACGATGATAACCTGTACATTTAAACCCCACATTCCATAAAAAAATTGCTTCCCTGTATTCATTTGATCGATGTGAATATCTGTTTTCCACTTTACCTGCTCTATTTTCGTCCGAATTAAGATCTGTTTTTCAGTTTACCTGCTCATTTTTTTGCGACCGTTAATTTCGTAATCATATTCATCACTATTTATCTAGTCTAGAGTATTTTCGTCGCATCATTTTCTCATGGAAATTCTAACTCAATTTAGAAGCAAATTTTGTTTTTTGTGTGTAGCCGAAAAAATTTGGCAAAGAAGTTAAAAAATTAAAAACGTCACTTGAGTAGATAAACTTAGGAAAGTGCACTAGAACTTGGCATATTGCTGTCTTAATATTTTGTAAAAGAAATCTCAATTTAGAAAATCAATTTGATTTACCCTCTCAGGACGTCAGTTAGATAAAAATGCAAAAAGGATACCTGGATATTCCTATTTAAACCAACCCGCATTTCTGTTTCGTTAGTTGAGATTCACGTCGATAAAATAAAGTTTTGTGTTTTCGTGATTTCTAATTTTTTTTAATCAATAAAACATCACTACCACGATGATGTTCCCTGTGCTGTACATGTTCATCACAATACATATTATTTCAAGTACAGGTAAGACTATTTAACTAATATATTTGTAAGATTTTCAAATGATTGAATCTATTAGTAAAATTGTTTAATTATAATCATTTTTTTAGTAATTGGTTTTAATTTACCAATAATTTCAAAACAGTACGTGTCGGAAAAGGATATTAGAACTTTAACGCAATTTAAAAAATAATGTGTTTATTTCATATAAACTGTAAGGAAAACAATGTTTTTGTTAAAACGTAGTTTTAGAGAACATGTCATAATAAAAACAATCTACTTACAGTGACAAATGATTTTCATGAATTTCTTTTTGCATGTTGAATATTTTACGTTTTCAAATGAAAAAATAAAAATTATTTGGCACATATAATTGGATCAAACCACTACATAATCTTCCCAGATATTGAAAACCCACCTAATACCAATATCCATTTTAAATACCAATAATCCTTTCAGATACCAATAACCCTTTCATATACCAATAACCCTTTCAGATACCAATAATCCTTTCTCGATACCAATAAACTTTCCAGATACTATATTTTGAATATCCGACTTTGCAACCGTTACTACAAATAATTTAAGCAACGTAAGAGGCATAAAGCTTCACTAGACACATCGATCTTGTGCCTTAATCTCTCACTGTCCACTGTTGCAGCCCAATTTGATTCTGTCTCTCTCGTACCTGATATTTCTGGTCAACCTTTTACACAGTGGGTTCTATATGAGAATCTTTCGACTGAGATTGGATGCTGGTTTTATATAAAAAATCTATAGGCTGATGATAGATGTTATACTTCATACAGTGCTGACAGTATATCGCACTTTTAAAAATCTGTTTAATTTAAACGGCCTGGTGGTCAAACCGCCTGTCGAGATTGAAGATTTTAAATGGCAAGTACATTTGAACTATCTACTTCTGTTGTACATTCGGGCATTTAGGAATTTCTTAAATGTCCGTGTGCTTCCGGCAATAGATCTTCCGCTCAACGCTCTAAAATATATATTTTAGCTTTATCATTGTGTATGAAATTCTTCTGTTCTTGAAAGCCAGAATTTAAAGACCAAAAGCTGCTCTAGTCTAGCCATCAGCAAAACATAGACTACAATCCACATTAAATCATTTATTTAATTAAATCCTTACTTGCCAGCACGCGATGGCTAGAGATATATTTAAGCTAAGACGACACCTTAGCAAATTCGAATTATTTTAAATAATTGACTCATAGAAGTGGGCACGTATTTTGTTTGTTTTCAGGTGTACAGATTGACATAAATAGAGAATATTTTTACCATGGCAAAGATTTATTTTGTGCACAACTCCAGTGTGCAGAAAACATAATAGAAGACACTCAGATATCAACTCTTGTCAACATGTCAGTCTATAGGATCAGTGAACCAGAGGGGAAGATTTTAGTGGCGTCTATTTCAGAATCAGATTCAAAGCTTGAAGATTATAAAAGGGCTGGAACAAGAGTAGAGGGGAAAATATCGAAAACATTTTCTGAATTGAAAATCTTTTTTTCGAATAACTCAGACTGCAATGATGACATTTTCCTATGTGAAATACATTATGTGAATACAACAGGATCTATGAATAGAATCTGGAAGAAGACGGAGAGTTTACAAAGAAAATCTCGCGAGTCATTTTTAATGATGAGCTTGAAAGCTAAAACATCTGACTATGTTAAATCTGTTGACACAATGGCCGATTTTCTCAAATCGTTTGAAGACCCAGACAGACTGAAAGGTGCAGACATGACAATGTCATTACAGATGTCACATTCTGGTGGCGATAAGTTAAGCACAGACAAAAGTTTTGGTCCAACAGAGACAGAGTTAAGTAACAGTTATAAACAGATCAGTTCTTCTACACTTGAGGACATGGTGGATCAACAGATAAAGAATTTAACTCTTGATGTAAACAAAACATTACAGACGATGAGTTCGAAGGCAGAGTTAAACAAAATGAATTTGGCTATTTTAAACGAATCAATGCAAACAATGTTAGGAAACACACATAACAAAACAGAACAACTCAGTATTAGATTAAATGAGATGGAAACGAAAATAGAGAAAGCTGTCAAACAAGAGCATATTAATACCACATTAAATTTGGTAGCCGGTCTCAACAGAACTATACACGAATTTAAAGACGAATATAACCGTCATGCTTTGATTTTAAAATTTACAAAACAGGTAAATTATTCTACAGAAAATTTTAAGTTTTTGTTGTTGTATTTATCTAGTTTGTTAGGTTAACCAGATTTTCATTTAAAAGAAACAAGCATGCACTTTTTATTAAATGATATTTCATTTAATTTCAATAACTGAAACGTTTTTTAACAGAAAATAATGATAAATTATATTATTCTAATTGAAATATGCGCAGGTTGTGTATATATTATATAGATGTAAACGTCTCGGCAGGATGCTTTAAATATATATTTTTTATCTTTGGCCAATACAAATAATGCATTTAAAATGTATTTTTATTACTGTGAACGTTTTAAAACTAAATTATATTTTCACTATATTAAGTGTGTTAGGAATGAAATTTCAATACTACCAGAACAAATTACGATCCAACTAAATGAAAGTAAACTTGCCTTGTGTGATACCAAAACAGACGGTGGTGGATGGATTGTTATACAAGTAATGTATGCTTTTATTCTTTTATAATCCATGTCAACTATTAGCATTCTGTTCAGTTTTTCCTAAATTGATTTGCATCTTTTATGTTATTTGCCCTAACTTTGAGTCGAATTAATTTCAGATTTTTAACCATTTACATTTTACAATTGAAATTACGTTTACAAAACGTTGCGTATTTTCTATTTGTTTCTTTCTTCTTACAATTTATCAACATAAGCTCAGTGTCCAAATATGTTAAAAGAAAACGTACCACAATAGCATCTCCTTAGCTGTTTTAGGGCTTCGGGTTTTAGTACATTAAAAATACTATTTGAGCAGTTAAACAGGGGCTTAAAATAGATAACATCCGTATCTTTTCTTTTTAGTTATTTAAATAGTAGTTTACTATTAAATATTTAATTTTTTAAACATTTATTTACTCTTTTACATTATTATTGCTATGTGAGAGGATTGAGCTGTCCGTTTCAATACTATTTTATACAATGATATAAAACCTTATTATTAATACGTTTTTAAAATCTGTTTTAATGTAAGCAAAATTGTATTAGCATGCTATGCAGAGGTGTAGCCAGGGAGGCGGCCGCCCCGGGCGCCGAACCTACCCCGAACAAAAACAAAAAGCTTGGAAAAATAATTTCAAAGCATTTTTATGCTGTAGTTTTTAAATATATACAGTCTAAGTTAAGACATATAATGGCTATACGCCTTTACATACTGATTTATGTGTTTTATACCTTGATTGTCTAACTGCAAATACATATAAACTTTAGACCCACAATAACTGCCTTCCCGCTTTTCCTACGAGCATCCTAAGAATTTACACTAGTATGGTGAGACCATATAAAGGAAACCAATTGTATTAAAATGTATTGTAAGATTGTTTAATCGTATGAAAAGGAATATGACACTCTTGCCGAAATTTTATATAAATTAGTGTATTGTATCGATCATTTTTTTATTTCTTGTTTCATAACGAGTCCTAATACTGCAATTTTTATATAGTTAGGGCAACTAGACATGCAAAACGATGTAAAAAAGGTACAACACGATGACTGCTAAAGTTTATTACTTTGTTCAACCTAACTGATAATTCCAAACTGTAATACACTATTATCGAAATTGTTCTAAAGGCACGAACAAAACTAGACCGAAAAAGCTTGCACCTTTTGCAAACTACACTCAAAACAATTGGTTTTTAACCTATTGGAGGTACCGAATCCTACCAGTTTTTTCTGCGCATACACCGAACCCTTCTAAATAGTTGTATCGGCAACATTGGCAAAACTTGTGTGTCTTGACCTCCGCCGAAGCTTTGAGACTAACGTACGGAAGCTTTATGAAGATAAATCTCTAATAATCCAGCCCCCTCCCATCTCTATTTCAAACGATTTCTTTCAAGAACAATAGCTTGTACCTCTTCTGACCTAAATATACTATTTGTGCATGTGCGTCATCTAAATTCACATGATACGTTAAGTAAGTTTTCTACTAAAATATAAAACATCTGCTTTCTTTTTGCAGTTATTAGATTATTCTTGTGTAAGGACAGTTGTTCGATTAGTGTCCGGTCAAAAAAAACCTGGACATAAACCCCCTGGACAAAAGCCCCCCCCCCCTTTCGACATAAACCCCCTGGACATAAACCCCCCGCGACATAAACCCCCCTGGACAAAAACCCCCCGCGATATAAACACCCTGGACACCCCCTCCCCCAAATATGAGAACCAAAATTAATAATTAAATACAAAACAAACATTAGAAAAAACTGTTTTATTTTTATTTTAACTTTAAAAAGACAGATTGTGAGCGATGCCTCGCAAATACTCAATAATGGTGGTGTGATGACGCAAGGTTGCGTCGAGCTCAGGTAGATAGCAGAAGCGGGCTATATCAAGTTGGTCAGACTAGTCAGAGAGAGAGAGACCAATAAAAATACATGAACTGACCGGTCACGTGGGACGGTCAGCTGACCAGTGAAGCGTGGGCCACTGTTAGGCCGGCAGTTGATAGGTAGCTAGCGAGGAGTAGAGAGGGTGTTAGGAAGCGGTTAGAGACGGTTGTAATTTGCAGAGCTAGAGAACAGTTAGTTAGTGTTAGGAGTGGTCACGGGAGTGCGTAGTTAGTAGTATAGTGAACAGTTAGCAGTAGTAGTAGTAAACAGAGAGAGTATAGAATAGGCTAGTTGGGTAGAAACTTGATTTTTTTATATACATTTGAATAAAGAACTTGTATTTGGAACTTGAACTGTGTGTTATTGGATTCATTCGTTCCGCCTTCTTAAAAATCCCCACCCTCACAGCTGGTACAACAAGAAGAACTACAAACAAAGATTCTTTTTCGTACCATCACAGGTGGGCTCATTAAAATGTTTAACAACAGTTAAAATTCGAGCGCTGCTATCAATATTTTTTTTTTCTGTTTGGTCAATAGTGACCGGGATTAATCTGTGTACCTTTAACCTCTTGGAACGATTGTTCCTTTTTAATAAAGTTATTTCCAAATATTTGTGTAGCAACATCCCATATTCGACTGGAAACTTCTGTGCCAGCCTTCAACCGAGTTGTTTGTTTTTGTTATATGGTCTTCTGCATGTGTGTGCATGTTCCACAAATCAAGTGGAAACATAGGTTGTCTCTCATATGTTTTGTATTGTTAAAAATGTGTTGCTTTGATCCGCACGGCTCCAAAAGGTGACTGACCTATATCTAAGGTGTTGTCGATGCCCGATATTTGATCTAATACAACCAAAGTCACTCCTTGACTGTCTAGTAGCATGCTTTTATGTAGTAACTCTTTTGTTAGTCGTTAAAAAATTACATTAATTTAATTTAATTTCGTTTATTTTTTGTTCGCATCATCGTTATTGTTTCCTTATATACACCTCATTCGTGGGGGGGGGGGGGTTATTATCCAGGTGGTTTATGTCGCGGGGGGGGGGGTGCTTGTCCAGGGGGTTTATGTCGAGGGGGGTTTATGTCCAGGGGGTTTATGTCCAGGGTTTTTTTGACCGGGCTTATAAAAGCAAGTGTTTCTGTTTTTTTAATTGCTTCCATAGTAATTACTTTCATGTTTCTGTAATACTTTAGTGTGTATTATAATTCTATTTGTCTGATTTAACTAAAAAAACTGTCTTTATTTTATAGTTTCTAATATCTGCCATTGTTTGTTATTTTCTTTTATACATGTTGACATTAAGCTGTCAACACTTACGAATCGGTAAAACTATTCATTAGTGGGGATAAATAGAAACATTAGTCTATTTTAAAATTTTAAAGTTGAGGTTGCAATTGTCAAACGACCTTACATTAATGTAAAACATTTTCGTGTTTTAAATTTGTTTCAGAGACGTGTTAAAGGTGACGTAAATTTCAAAAGAAACTGGAGCGACTACAAAAATGGTTTTGGATCTTTGGATGGAGATTATTGGCTGGGAAATGACTGGATCTCAAACCTCACACAAAACGTACGTTTAATATTTAGTTTTAACTTTAACCCTTTTAGGATCACATGGAACACAAAACGTAAATTTAAATTTTAGTTTTCACTTAAATAAAGTATGTCTTCTACAAATAGCATTCTACAAATATAACTAATAAAACACCGGGAGTAATATCCCCTAAAAATTCTCGAATATTCTTATAAGAAAATAACAGGGAATGGGAACTCGGGCTATAGACATAATTTTTAATCCATTTTATATACTTAAAGTTTTAAAAATAGAATAAAATCTCGTAGACAAAAGAATTGCACACCAAGTGAACGCCAAATAAAAAAAGTGCATAATAGTGCGCAATATTATTAGTACTTTAAAAATTGACAATTGTTTTTTGAAAAATCGAAAATAGCGTAAATTACTACTTCCGGTCAACGGAAATTACTCAATATTTAACAGAAAGTAGATAATTAGATCTCTTACTTACATGTGAAATTTCATATATCTATCTGAAATAGGACTCAAGTTATAGGCTTTGGAAAAATTCAAAGTAGAAAAAGTACCACTTCCGGTTATCGGAAATCGCTCAAAAGTTGATAGGGATCTACGCATTTGATAAAATACTTATATATGAAATTTCATCAACCTAGCTGTAACGGTACTCAAGTTATCGTGTTTACACACGGACAGACAGACAGACACACAGACATACGGACAGAATTGCAAAGCCCAGTTTTTCAGACTGGATTACGCATAAAATCTCTTAATTTTGATAAATCTGGATTGATAATTTTTGCCAGTTTATAATAAGTCCTCTATACTTCGGATGTGATGAAGGAATGAGGTGTAATACGGGGAAAATCGTTAAAATTTCAAGTGATTTTTGTGCTCGATTACAATACTTTCTCTATACTTCGCATATACGAGAAAGTAAAAAAGAATAAAATCTCGTAGAAAAAAAGAATTGCACACCAAGTGAACACCATATAAAATGTGCAAAATCGTGCGGAATATTATTAGTACTTTATAAATTCACATGCGTTTTTGAGAAATCGGAAATAGCAAAAATTACTACTTCGGGTTAACGGAAATTACCCAAACATTGATAGTAGGCAGAGAATTAGATCTTTTACTTACGTTTCAAAGTTCATTTATCCATCTGAAATTTTACTCCAGTTATAGGCTTATGAAAAATTCAACGTAGAAAAAGTTTCACTTTCGGTATCGGAATTTACTAAAAAATTTATATGGATCTACGATTTTTACACACACACAGATAGACGGACAGAATTGGATAATCTAGTTTTTCCAACTCCATTACGCATAAAACGCCAACATTTTTATATATCTGGATTTATAATTTCGCCCGATTTAAATATGTCCTCTATATCCCGGATGTGATGAAGGACTGAGGAGTAAAACGATGAAAACTGTCCAAATTTAATGTGATTTTTGTGCACGATTACAAGACTTTCTCTAAACTTCGTACATACGAGAAAGTAAAAAAGTAGTGTTAAATAACAGTTATACGTATTACAGACTTTTATCAATAACTGTTGTCGTAATGTCTTCTCTTCACTGCCAAATATGACACTTTCTCGGCCTTACTTTCACACCTATCACCCATCTTTCACCAAATTGTATTATTGACCAAAAGCTGAGAATTTGCACAGGAAATGACTTACAGTATATAAACACACAGCGTGAACATTTCTATGATAAGTCACTATTACTTTCACTTTTGACACTAAGATGTCCAATGTTTTCTAACAGACTTGTCTATAAAAAAATATTTTTTGTAATGTTGATTATTGAAGATGTTTGATTACCAATGGTCGGAAAAAAGAAATAATTAACCTTAAATGTCCAGAACTGGTTATCACTTTTTTATTGAAAATCTTTAGATAGATACAAATGTAAATAGATACAACTGTTTCTTAACTATTCGAAATGATTTACAGTGGTAGTCACTTAAGATTTATGCGGTACACAATTAAACATTTTAAAATTGTATATGTTTACAGGGCTACAGTGAACTGAGGTTTGACATGAAATATAAAGGTAAATCCTACTACGCCGTGTACAGTAACGTGACGGTGGGAAATGAAGCACATTTGTATAGGATAAAGTTTACATACAAGACAGGCAACGCTACAGACAACTTCAGCTATCACAATGGAATGGCTTTTACCACTTTAGATAGAGACAATGATAGATCGTCTGATAACTGTGCTGAGAGATGGAAAGGCGGCTGGTGGTATAACTCATGTCATGATATGAACGCAAACGGTGTATGGGCGATTAAAACTGGGAGTGAAGGCATTAACTGGAGAGGTATAACAGGTACCACAGATTCTCTGGAGCACGTGGAGATGAAGCTACGACGGCAATGATTATAAAAAAAATCATGAAAACAGAACCTTGTGTTAACAATATTTCGCCAAAATTATAAACATTGCTTACATGTATATAAATGTAATTTTATTTTTACAATATAAACTATTGCATATTGTTTTAGTTGTAATGAAACAATCAACAAATCTGCTTTCCCCTAACTAATGACTCTCTGTCTATAGCTAACTGAAATTCTCTGTTGTCTAGATTTCTGTTTCTGCGGAGAGCCATTGTGTATCACATCAGTGCATGTTAAATAAAATTGCAAATACAATTTGTCAATGTAAATCTACCTACAGTTATTCTACTTTTAGTTGTAAACTGTTTTATTGAACCAATTTTAGGTAAATAATTAGAAAAGGGGAGAAAGAAAAATGTACAAGTTCAGTCAAATTCCAATATCGTGCACACATATTGCCGAAAATAAAAGTAATTAATATACGATTTCATTCTTAATTGGAAAAATGGTAACGATTTTCGTCTATTCAATAATAACGACATATTAAATAGTGATTATGTTTATAGTAATGAACATAACAGAAATGATCAAAGAGAGGATCATCTATTTATAACACCGGTTCCCAAAATTTTTTTGGGTGGCTTTCCTCCTTTATAAAAATCAAATGAATAGCGACGCCGATACAATTAAAATAAACATTATCGTATTATCTTACACAACAGATAGCAAAGTAAAACGGGACTATAGAAATATAGTAGCTTGTGAAAAAAAAACTCCCATTGTTTGAGATAACTAATAGCGGCTTAACGTTCTTAGAATATACTGCCTCATGAGGAATTAATATGCAATTATCAGCTTCAGAAGGTTTTTGAGAAATCTGAAATTGAGAAAAATACCGGTCCCAGACATCGGAGGTCACTCAAAAATTATGTTATCTAAGTAGGCCTATAAGATATTTTACTTTATAGCCTATATGTTGCGTCTATCTAAATGAAACAGTAACCAGTTTGTTTTTTGTTTTACTTCGCAACAAAATTAAAGTACCTCTTGAAGCTACTCGAAATCGTTTAAATGTTAAAAATTACCTGTATATACAATCTAATATTTATATCTGAAGCTTCGTCTACATAATTAAAACGACTTGAATTGAAATGAATAACTCTTTTCGGCTAACGGATATTGCTCAAATGTTTGATAGAAACTTACGTTTCAGATATAAAACATATATTTAAAACTTCATTCTCCTAACGCATATAGTGCTTAAGTTATCGGGTTCTCAAGCACACACAAAAATACACGCAGACAGAGAAAAAGACAGACATAAAGATGAGTTTACAAATTTAAATAAACCGGGAGTGATCTCCCCTAAACTTTCTCGAATATTGTAATATAACACGTCGGGGGATAGCAACTCGGGACATAGACGATATTTTTAATCTATTTTTAAGTACTTCAAACGAAATGTCTCGGGTTCGAACCCTCGGGCAGATGAGGCTCGGTAGCTGGGGACATCCACTCTTCTAGGAGAGACAACTCCAAAATCAAACAACTGCTGCCTTGTAATTTGTTCTTGGTTGGACAAAGGCTATGGAAGCATATTCAAAAAGAAAAGCAGGCTGAAATGAGAGTCAATGGCCTCAATAGCGCATAAACAGTGACACGTATCCTTAATTGTGATGGAGGTGTGGTCTAGTCGGCAAAAAGCTCATTCGAAAAAAAAAAGTCTCGAATTCAAACCCTCTGGCAGATAAGGCTCGAACCCTTCAAACACTAAAATTAAGAACGAAGAAGAAGAAGAATTACTTAAACTTTTTATAATAGAATAGAATCTCGTAAAAAGGAATCGCACACCAACTGAACGCCAAATAAAATGTGCATAATAGTGCGCAATATTATTAGTACTTTATAAATTCATAAGCGTTTTTTTTTTACTACTTCCGGTCTAAGGAAATTATTCAAAATTTGATAGAAGTCAGAGAATTAAAACTTTAACTAACATGTGAAGTGTCATTTATCTATCTGAAATAGTACTCAAGTTATAGGCTTTTGAAAAATTCAAAGTAGAAAAAGTTCCACATCCGGTTATCGGAAATCGCTCAAAAGTTGATACGAATCAACGATTTTGATATAATACTTATAAATGCAATTTTATCATACTAGCTGTAACGGTACTCAAGTTATCGTGTTTACACACACACACAAAGACATACATACACACAGACATACGAACAAGATTGCAAAAGTATGTTTTTCCGACTTTCAAAAAATCTCGATTTTTTTTTCACGATTACAAGACTTTCTCTATACTTCGTATTTACGAGAAAGTAAAAATTGAGGTAAATGATTATTTTGATTCCAGTTTTTGCATGATTGCAGTACTGTCACTATGCCTGGAGTGATAGATAGGGAAACACATATTTTTAATAAAATATCTAGCGCATCTTGGTTAAGTTACCATTATTTTCTTGTATTTTTTTATGTAATGTTAAAAAAATACATATTTCTGCTGTTATATTTTTAAAAAAAAAACCTGTTACATTAAAAAAAAGATATTATTTAAATATTTTAAAATATTTATATTTTTTTTAAATTTCAGTTATTATCTCACAATTATCTGTGTTTATCGTTCGTTATACACCTAAATAATTCAATATTCGCATGGTACAATATATCGTTGGTAATATGTGAATAGTGTTTTCTTGAGCTACTTTTCTCTGGTTTTTCTACGTTATGTAATTAGAGTTCTAGATTGTCGGCTATCTGCCCTTCATAAGAATTTTATTTAAATTTAGGCCGATTCTATCCGGAAAAAGATACTCATGCGCAATGGACAGAAACTTATCTTGCCTTCGCGGCGATGTTTTCGAAGGTACTGCGCTTGCGTGTGTTTACATCACAGAACCTTAGCCCTATCCCTAACCCTAACCCTAACCATAATCCTCACTCTAACCCTTACCCTAACCCTAACCCTAACCCTAACCCTAACACTAACCCTAACACTAACACTAACACTAACACTAACACTAACACTAACACTAACACTAACACTAACACTAACACTAACACTAACACTAACACAACACTATAACTAACACACACCCTAACCTTAGCTCAGCTATTAAGGTCACTGCGCATGCGCAGAACTATCTTTTGCCGACCAAGTGGAGACGCTGGGGCGAAAAAACTTTATCTGATTAGTCACTTCGAAATTTACTTGATTCAGACTTTCATTGGATTATAACAATCCTACATTTGTTATTCTACAAGATCTTGAACAAAATAATTGTTTTTAAAGCATTAAAATTTGATATAGGCACGGAGTAATATGGCGAGTAAACACATGTTCGCTAACCAGAGAGTTCGAACCATCGGACAGACAAGGCTTGAAGACTTTTAACTCCGAAATCAAAATCTGATTTCCTGTTAGGCAGCTCCTGCGACACTGCTGTACAGGTAACGTCTTGTCCCTTGGGTCCACCAGATGTGTTGAGAGATTGTACACGAGCAACATCTAGCTCTTCTCCTCTTGCTGTCCAGGCTTTGTGCTTGGATTTTCAATGCGCAACCATCCAATGGTATATTAGATTATGGAGCCATAAATTTGATCTGATCTGTGATGCTTTTTATAGTTTTATAGTTTTAATTTTGTTTATCTTTAATTTTCTTCGCGTAACATCTTGAAGAAACTGCAAATTGTAGGAATAAAAGTTAGTCACACTTTGTGACTTCCCGATCAACTCGACATTTTAAATAGAGTTAAACTGTTTCTGTGACCACAGCACAAAAAGCTATAGTGTGGTCACCTTTACTTTCACTAACGTAAGTCGGGTACTTATCAGATGTGGTTGGAGTCAAGGACAATATACGGACTTTAGCCTATTTCCCGATCTCAAAACTTTCGAGCTTCAGTACGTGCGCGCTACCGTCCTACCATACCGTCCCATTGTACTGATATCAACTCATTGATGTTTCTTAACAATGGCAATACTGTTATGTTTTATCTTTTTTTTTGTATTTTCCAGTGTCGTTTCAAAATTTCAAAACTAAACTAATGTTATGCTTCTTATTAGTTGTATTTCCCTTAAAAATAAAAGCACTTTATAAAATGATAGTTTGTTTGAATTGTGGCTTCCGTGTCGTATTGTAGCTTCTGTGTAGTCTTGTGGCTTCTGTGTAGTCTTGTGGCTTCTGTGTAGTCTTGTGGCTTTTATGTAGTCTTGTGGCTTCTGTAAAGTAGCTTATGTAGCTTATGTGTAGTCCCTGGGACTTCTACAGCAGAGAGTATTGGAAATTTGAAATGATAATTTGTTGACGTGACACTCCTAAAAACGTATGCACCTTAATTTAACACACCGACTATTTAATTCTTATATATGGGATACACCATTATTTAAAAAAAATACATTTTATCGAACAAATAAAAAATTAAATAAAAATTTTAAAAATTATAGACGTCTCAATATTATCACAACAATTTAGGCCTCTGAATAGCATTTACCACTAGTGCTATCTTCAATAATTGTTTTCATTTTAATACGACCACACACTCTCCGATGTTACGATCCCTGGGATCTTTATCTGGTTTGGTCCTATCGGAGGGGAAGCGACTAGTAAGGGGACGTGTGACCAGCGCTTGGCTGCTGCAAATAGGCCGGACAAGCACATACAATAAAACGCCGAAACTTGTTCCTACATTGACCATCGCGGTCAGGCCAGATCTGTTATTTGTTGCCGTTAGACACCTAGGGTCGGTAGTTTACAAATGGGAAATATTTTTGACAATATTGTGACAGCAATGGTAGTCACATTAAGGACTTTGTATTTTAGTTTTCTGCTAATTGTGTTTGATGTTGTGGCGGTATTAAAGATGGTTGTTGTATTTTTTTTTATCGTGGTAGTTAAGTGTAGAAAAAGTTGCTAGTTGTGTTTATTCAATATAAGTTATTGTTCTTGTTTACAAATTCCCAAACTAGTTCGAAATGACATAAGAAGGGGATGTAACAATATATAATATTATATTTTTTAAATTGTATTGTTTATATCCCTTTAATGAGGGAAGCAACTCAATTAAATTTGTATAAAGAGAAATAAAGAGTTTTGTGTTTAAATGTGTTTATGTTATTCACCAGTCTATTTTCAGCGCTACACTCAGGTATCTGCCATATTTTAAGTCAAGGGAAACTGCCTAAATCTACAACGAAGACACCAAATTGGATGACACAGCTACCGACAGCCATGTTGGAAAAGATGCGATTGCTAGGCTACCAATACGAGATATTTTAAAAAAAACGTTAGCAGTTTATTGCGAGATTTTTTATTTAGTTGAAATCACGTGTGACTGATCAATAGGTGTTGGGGCATTGAAATGGATAATTGATAAGTGATATTGTAGTAAATAATCAGTTTGAGTGTAAAGCTATTACCGTAAACAGCATAGGTTATGCACCTATGGTCAAAGTCCTGCTTTGGTCCAAGAACTAATAGTTAGAGCCTCTTTGGTAAAAGTATCTATAGTCAAAGCCGTTTATTTCTAACAGCTAGCTTTAGTGTCCACAACTCAGGTTCATATTAAAACATGGATCTCCCAAAATGTTGTGTTAGTAATCAAAAATAGTCTTCTACATTTAATAAGCATTGAAAAAAATCCCAATATTAAAATGTGTCATGTAGTAGGCGTACAGTATATATTGACTATTCTTGATAAACTGATTACTATTAATTAACAAAATCATACTGATGTGTTCGTTACCGTTATATTTTTAGGTTCTGCATGTTAACTGTACTCAATATCCATCTCGATTCCTAAGCTTTTAAGGGGCGTAACACTTATAATGAAAATATTTTTCTACACTTTATTTGTTGTCTCCCTTGTGTATTTATATATATATATTTTTTTAATGGAACCGGATTTTAAATAATAAATAATAATCATTAAAAAAGTTTTAAAAAACCCACGTTTTCTGATTGAACTAAAAAGTAGAAATTAAATATTATACATCACAATAATGCAAGCGATCACTCTACTATAAGCTATCAAAAACGTGGGTCGCCTAAGTAAAAGTTATATTACTATTGATTAGATAA